GTAGTGTAAGATAGTTGTAAGACTCAGAACACTAATCAAACATGAGTGTCTACTCTAACTAGTTAATAGTAGGGTTGTAAGCTTTAAGCTATTTGAATCTAATAAAGACATCTGTCTTTCTAAGGTTAGTAACTCTAAACTCAATACTTTCCTTATAATCCTGAATAGTTATCTATAGTTGGACAAACTTAGTAATCTAACTATTCTAGTTCAGGGTTCTGTCTGTATTATATACTAGGATTAGAAGTAGAACACATTAAGTAGGAAGATAGTGTTCCTGTACAAAAGCTTTATTAATACACAAATTAGTACATTTACTGTCTACCAGAACTATTGTTCAGGTTTAGGAGGATCCTAAGAGGAGAGCTAAGAGGACAGAAACTTAGAGCTAGTACCTAGAACATTCTCTAATAAACTACTACTTGTTCTGAAGAGAATGTACAGCTTACACAGTCTTGTTGTCTGAGAGGGTAAGTATATACACTAACATTTCCTTATTAACCTCTCTCTTTCAACAAGGACAGACTTATGTCCTCAAATATGAACTTAGTTGAGACTATCCCTACTTGATACTACAGACAAACTACTAAGTAGTAAACAGGGCTAGGTAGTGTTCTAAACATTCTAAGATCTTAGAATGTAGAAGTAGCAGGTCAGATTGTATAGATTTAGACTTAGATAAAGTACAAAGAGAAGAATCAAAAGAATCAGAAGGAATAAAAGAACTATCTACTTTTGTTTTTGACTTTTTTCTTTTTAATAAATAATTTTGTTAATTTACTTTTTCTACTTTTTCTACTTTTCTTACTTTATTTACTTTTAATCCTACAGTGTCTATTTAATTAAAAGTGGCTGTTAAAAAATCTGAGTCATAGCCCTTTAGTGTTACATTCACTGTTAAGCTTCTACAAAATCCTAGAGTGTATAGTCAGAGTCTAAGAGTTCTGAGGTAACTTTCAGATTTGTAGAAAAGACTTTTTACTACAAATCCTACTTGTTACTTGTTATTACTCTAATGACTTAACAGATATACTGTTACTTCTGTAGACAGTCCTTAATTTAGTACCCTGACTTTCTGTAAGTAAAGTATACTCTTTACTTTCAGACTTCTCTAATGTTTATCAGAACAGATTAATTACAAATTACAGGCAAATCAATCTAAGGGCTTAGAACTGTCAGAGTCAAATGTATGTACAAGTGTTTTACACAGACTTGACACATCCAAGCTATAGCTTAGTTAAAGGAAATAGTACATGTTTTCTACTTAGTGTAAGTAATTAGTTCTAGTGTCATTCTAAGAATCTTATTAACTAGTTCTAAGTAAAGAGCTTTTTCAAGCATTCTAATAAGGACATTATCAAACTCAAGTACAAATCCTACCTTCTAGGCTAGAATATCAAACTCCTGAAAAAAGGTATTAGTAGAATGTTTGCCCTGTTACAGAGATGTAAGCTTGTTCTACACATTATGCTTCTTGTTCAGATTAATAAAGGAAGTATAGAGCTGTCTCATAAATTCTGAATATGACTCATTATTCTAAAGTCAGATCAGGCTTCTAATCTGATAACCTTTAATTTAGTTCTAGGCCCAAGTGGCTGTGTTACCTTCCTTTATAAAGGAGAGGACAAATAGGATGTGATTAAGGTTTAAGGATAGATCAGTCAAAGTAGTAGCCACATATAGTTCAACTTAGTACTAGAAGTTCTCAAAGTGCTACTTATTAAAGTCTGAAGGGTAGGTTACATACACTTTCTTTCTAGAACAGGTTACAACTTCTGAAACAATTAGAACAGGTTCTGAGAGGGCTGAGAGTATATAGTTAGTAAAGGCCTCTTAGATAGAGGTTTACACATATTAAGCTAGGTCTACTTACAACTACTAATCTGGTAGAACAGTAGGGGTGGTAGTTAGTGTAGAAGGGTCTATGTTTACACTACAAAAGAATTAGCACTAAACTAAAAGGGGTAATGAATAGAAGAAGAGTAGCAAAAGTTTAAAAGGGTTTACATTACAAAAAAGTCTTAAGTATTATACTTGCTTGTAATCTTGTATATTTTATATATTTTATAAAATTTGTCCAATTACTTATAATCTTCCTGGGGGGTTAAGCAAGGAAAGTACAATGTTAAATAAGCAAGAAAAAATACTTTTAAAACTTGGCAATTTCCAATATAATTTTATAAATTGTCAAGTTATACAAGTGATTATAATATACTGCCTAAATTACAAGGTTAAGACATACTTATTAATTTGTGACAGTATAATATCTGCTTATAATGCTTACAAGTCATTACAAGTGTTTGAATAGCTTTCTTAAATTCTTTTGCTTACTATACAATTTATATCAAATAATTAATCAAATATAATTATATTTAAATTATAGAATACAAAAATAGGAAATAATACACTATTTCTATGGTCCCAACCTCTACACCACCAGCTGCCTCTGCCTCATTATTCTGT